TGGCATGATGCGCCTGGTGAGATAACAAAGGACGACTGGCGAGAGTTTCTGGGGAAGCGCGAGTAAGTAGCTGCATGATGGTGCGATTCAATAAGATCAGGGTCAGTCGCTAATGGGCAGCCAGATACCAACGCGCATTCATTGATTTCTTCGAGGATCAGCTCGTGAGCAAGAAGTACGATGTTGAGGAAGTTCTTGAGGAGTTCTTGCTCAAGGGCAAAGAACCGCTGATCAACGGCCTCATTTCAGGACGTAAGCTTGCGCTCTCCCGAAGTCCGAATATCGCTAATTCCATGCAGTTGCGCATCCTCTCATTCATCTCGGCTACGCTTACGAGCTCAACTCTACGACCGTTGCGATCGAAGCCCTAGCGATGGGCTCTTGCTTCTACAGTCCACTCCATAAATACATCGACGACCCAGAATACACGAAGCCCAGCCCTCATGAGGCGACTGGGAACCACACCGGGCTCATCGATTTGTTGGACAAGGTGCGCAAGGATAAGCGTTTTGATGGACTGTACGATCACCGCAGCGGCGATATCACGAAAGTGCTGGAGGAGCGTGAAGAAGCCTTTCTGGAGTACTGGAATGCTTGGGAAATTACCGCCCCGAACGAACAGTTCCAAGCTGCTCAGGAGGTCGGCTTGGGGCTTTTGACTGGAACACCACGACCGGAAAAGGGAAAGTACGACTTCTTCCTCGTACATGTGCTTACAAGCTCTCACGCTATTCGCATCCTTCTCCCGTCGATACCGGCCAAGTTTCATGTCAGTCTTCTACGACAATGGTGGCTGTTCGCGTTAGCTGTATACATTGCCCAGACGAGGCCAGAGATCGATATGGGTAAAGCGATGACTGGTGACGACAGCCAGAAGAAGACTTGGAAGCATGTTGTGGACAAGGCCTTGAACGGACCACATTCGACTGATGCGCATTACGTCAAAGGTATGTTACGAGCCTCTTGCCGAACCGCGGTGTTCTTGACTGACATGGCGCAGCATTGCGTGCGTTGAAGGTAGCGGAGGAGACATGGGAAAAAGGTAGTGACAAATCAAACCACTGGCTCAGTGCAGCAGTCAAGTTCGCGGACGAGTTTGAGGGCTGGGGAGGGTTTGGAACAGCGGAAGACGAAGCAAAGATGGGATATCCTGAGAAGCAGTAAGGTTTACTATGCAGAATGGGAAAGATAATGTATGCGCAGGTCTCGTTTCATGGAAAGTTCCTAACCTGCTTGATGGTGACGCGTTCACGTGGTTTGATGTGAAATCGGCACGGAACTGATCATTCATCACTTGCTGCCTGTTATCTGCTGACTCTATCTCCTGGCGACGGCCCACATCATTACCCATAGCACGCAATACACTCCGGCACCTGACAGCAAGGACTACGTACTTCTCTCCTCTGGAAAAACCAGGAGTACCAGCCTCCGCCATTCAACTGCATTCAACTGTACAATGAACGCGCATCCCTCTACCACCATCCCAGCTCTATGCACTCAATACAAGGTTTACTGGCGAGAGTGCGGCCACGAGTACAGCAACGTCGGCGATGTGGTCCCCTGCCAAGCAGCTGCGAACAATCTCCCATGTGCATGTAGGACAAATCTCAGAATCGTGCGCGACACGACTACCTCTCGAGGCATAGATGGTCATACTAGAGTGCTGAGCGATGGAACTGAGACTGGGTTTTGCAGGCCGTGTAGATTGGAGAACGAGAGAGAGAGGAAAAAGGAGGCGAAAAAGACGAAGAGGAAGGTGAGCAAGGCGGAGAAGGGTAAGAAGGTAGACGGCGGTAGCAAAGTCAGTGGAATGGGTGGTGAAGGTAGAAGCGGATTCGGAGGGGGGTTTGGAAGGAAGCAGAATGTTAGGGTGGAGAAGAAATATGTCAAAGTGGATGGAGGTGGAATTGGGAGTAAAGATGACTGGGAGGTGGGGATGCCGCCGAAGACGATTAAGCAGTACCAAATGGATCTGAAAATGCTCAAGGAGAGCATTGGGACGGGTACCGGGAAAGCGATGAGTTTGTGATGGGGGTCTAGTGTGGTGTGGTAGTTTGGTAGCTGGTAGAGAGGGGATTAATGGTTCGATATGTAAGGGTCCTCGTTGGCTAGCCGAGCATGGAACCATGGTTAACGTCCTCGCTTTTCGAATATATTTTCCATTTTAACTTGTACATAAGAAAGCATCACCGCAAGCATTCCCCTCGCTTCTTACATTTCTTCCACAAATACCACAGCAACATTACCCCAAGACGGTTTCGCAACACCGATTTAGAAGATGTCCAATATGTCACTCCAACCACTGTGGCCAACGCGCCCACAAGCAATCCAAGTAGATCTCACCATGACACGAGAGCTCCTCCGCGTCCTCTCTCGCGGTGGAAACGGTCATCCTCTCCACCACGACTCCCTCTACCAGTCGACCTACCTATCTAGCGCGATGGCCTCACAGCTTCTTTACGATTGGCCAGTCCGCCAGGCTCGCGCGCTCGCCCCTCTCTTCGTCAGTCTCAAACAGAGATATGAATTACAAGCGAGGCACTACCGAGCTTGGAGGATGTTGGTCACCAATGGCCTTGCAACGGAGGAAGCGATTCGTCTTCCGATTGATGAGCGCAGTCCGGTGAATAAATCTGCCGTTTGGAGGTTGCTTGATAGACTCTCTGCTTTCCCGAAGTTTGGGGCGGTGGATATATTGGAGGTGGGAGGGTTTAAGTGTCAATGCAAGAACTGCTCTAGAATGGCATTAGCGTTGAAAGAAGAGAGGGGTGATGTGTTTGTGCAGCCAGGGTACTGGTTTGCGGCGGTCGTATTGAGGTCGTATTGCGACATTGAGAGTGCAATGGAGGCACTGAAAATATGGGGTGGGTTTGGAGAGTGGAATGCGGGCCATACATGCTATGTGCCTGATGAGAAGTTGAATGAGGTGCGGGTATATGTTGAGAAGGTCGAGAAAGAGGAAGACAACCTTGACAGAGGAAGCATAGGTACACTGTTCGGAGAGGAGATCGAAGAGGCAGAGGACGATGTTGAGAATACCGAAGATATCGATGACATATCTCGACTACGAACCGAAATCGACAGTGAGGGCGAAAGTTCCACAGGCATCGAAACACCGCCCTCGACAACCGAGGAGCTTGTAGATCCTACACTCACGCTGTCGCCCATACCGACACCATCAGATCCCTGTCCGGAATACTGTCCCTCTCGCCGCCGTCGCCTCCGCGATAACATCCACAATCCGAACCACTCATCGTGTAGATACCACTGCCACAATCCACACGCCTCCTTCGAGTTCGAGCCAAGCGGCGAGCAAGTCGGCTTCTGGCTTCCTCATGGACTGCAAGATGCACAGGCACGGAAAGAGTGGGCAGTGGCGACTAACAAGAGAATGAGGGACTTTAGGATGGCATGGAAACGTCTGTTTGGGAATGATTCTGCGGGTGTGAAGGCAACTATAGAGGTTCAGCGGTGTGCGTGGGATTTCGTTAGAGCGGATTATGGGTATGGTGAGCGGAGGAATTGAAAAGTTGCTTCTGAGGTGGTTTGCGTATGTAATGAGTCGTAGAATACGATAATTGAATGTCGCGCAATATGTTTCGGCCTGAGTATGTGTTACCTAGTGTTTAGTCCACTGGAAAACCTATCCAAGGTTGCGTGACGAACTCCTCGTCTCCGTCAAGACTCTCAACTCAGGCGAGATATTTGCAGCTACCGATCGAAGAATATTGAAATCGTTGACTATCTCGGGTAGCGTGCTAAATGGAGAGACTCCCGAGGTCGATTCGGAGCTCGGTAGCGCGTGGCCTGGCCGGCCGCCTGCAGAATTTACCCGCCGGACATGAACATGCTGTTGTGTACATTCACACCCCGCTAGGATGTGCCGATGTGGTGGTTCAAAAACGTCTCATAGTGTATCGTAGTACTCAATCGCTCTTGCACCAAGTGCGATCCAGCACGTTGCCCCTCGCTGTGCTCTAGCTCAATTAGTGTCTTGGCGTCATGTCATCCTCACTTCGGCCGAGTCCGCATCTCCAGTCTCAACTCGCTCTTTGCGACACCCATCTCAACATTTGTACATCATCATCGCCCGCATTACCTAGATATACATGGAACCCCTTCCGGTGGCTCGATCCGTTCTTTTGAAAAGGAGCGTGTCCCTCCGTTCAGCCGCAAGCCAATCAGCCATGTCGCCAGGGTATGGGTGCAGTCGCAATCTCAAGAGGCCTGCTTCGCGAAGTCGAAGACCCTCGCTTTCTGACAGGCGAGCGTCACGCCATCGCGCTACAGGCGAACTGAGGCTTTTGTCCGACTAACCGACAAGGAAGACCTAACTCCAATGATGCGGACCGCTCCCGGCACTGCTTTAGTCTGAAGATCACATCCCAGCCTCGCCCTAAGGCTTGATACTTCCTGCGTACTTGATCAAACCTGTATTGCGCCCCGAGGCTTTGGGTAATCGCCGTCTAACCTAACTACTGGACTCGAGCAGCCGTTCAACAAGCGGCGCGCAACTTGAACCACCTCCGGATCAGTCAACTCCTGAGACAACGCCGTACACGTGGCTGTGTTGGTGTGCCCACTCCACACCAGTTGCAGCACACGTACGCCATCACAACGATAGGCCACATGCTGTGCCTCTTCGAGCCCTCCGCAAGGTTGTAAGGCTGCGCAGGTAGTTCCTCGATTGCCTCAGCAGAAACACACGAGGTGTCGAGCGTTCTGTGAGGTAATGAAAAGCTCTTTTAGCCGGCATGCCAGCCGCTTTATGCTCAACGCGACATTGCCACTATGGTCTCCCAACTCCTATACTTTTGCGCAGCTGCATGTGGCACAGCTCTGTTGTGCTACTCATCACGAGAAGAACCGCACTGGCGGGCCCGTACCTGATACGCTCACCCTGCTTCTTGCTACCCGCGCCGCTCACCCCACATTCCATACAACATGTCCGTTCTCGCAGTAGTCGTCGATCGGCCTCTGCTCAACAGCCTTTCTAGCGTATGTCTAAGACGATGTATCAAGTCATTTTGTCGGACTTGAATTGGACGCCCATCGTTCAGATCATCACTTGGTTCACTCTCGTAACTAGTCTTCTGGCGTTCTTGACGCATGCCGGCATCAAGTTCTACGTGTTTCGGACGTTGACGATCGAGTCATGGCTGGTACTTGCAGCCTTGGTAAGCGGAGCATCAACATACTCAGCAGCATTTGCTAATAAATATTGCCAGATATTTTGCGTCGCACAATCTGTCGCTGTATTGCTACAAGCACACTACGGTTTCGGGAAACCGATCGCGACCTTGAGTGGATATCAGATTGAGTCGAATCTCAAAGTAACCTCCTACCTTCGCTTGAGTACCTGGTCCGGAGCGCTGATATGAGCGAAGAGCGAATATGCCGCAATGATACTCTTCATTGTCTCCCTCGGCTTCTCGAAGCTTGCTGTCGTAGCGTTCGTCCATCATCTGACTCCATCCGAACTCCACCGCAGAATCAACTTCGGCGTCTTGGCTCTTATAATCTTGTGGCTGGTTTGTTCTGTGTTGGTCGCAGCATTCGAGTGCCGGCTGCCACGGCCATGGGACAGAACATTGGATCGGTGCATCGACCGTGTCAGTAGTCTACGCAGATGCGTAGTCGGCTTCTGGCTGACGTTAGACAGTTGACCTGGTGGAATACCGTCTCATGCTTCAATATCATGACAGAGATCGCGATCGTGGCCTTGGAATTAGGCATCACAGCGCAACTTCACATGCGACGGCAACGGAAAGCAGCGGTCATGGCCTTGTTCTCATGTCGGTTACTGTGAGTACGAAACCCTACACATATCTCAAATACTGACAAGCAACACAAGAGTTCTTGTTGCTGCTGCGGTTCAGCTTAGCTTCTTCAATCGCGACAGCACCAATTCCGCTTTGAAAGACGATATGACACTCGGTTACTGGCGCTCGTCTATCAGCAACCAGATTGTGCAATGCTTTGCTATCGTCACTACATGTCTTCCGTATACCAAGCTATTCATGGAGGGTTTTGAGTCTGGACTTATGCGATTGGACGATCTGCGCCGTCGAGGAGAGCAAACCTCCAAAGACGACAGCAAAGGATACCAACTCATGGACATATCGCGATCGGGACGCTCCGAAAATTCCAGACCCTCATACAGCGGGCCGGATAGGAGCATCCAAGTATCGAAGAGTTGGGCAGTGCAAGTAGAACCAGTAGCCCGCATGCCGGCTACAACAATACTGCAGTAAATCTATATCTATAGTATGTAACACAGTCCAGAAAGCACAAACCAACACATGCAAAAATTGGCGCGGCATTTCAGAAACGCACACCCTTGCTGTACCCTCGTTTCGCAGTGCAGGTGGCACGGCACGCAGCATATGCGCCTAGGTTTCTTCCAGCAGGTCTTCCGGATTGGGACAACTGGTGCTACGATCCTATTGGTGAACAGGCTATAGGTCAACGGTCAGGATCATTACGAGGATCATCTCGGCTACAATGTTGTGCATAAGCGGCCCTAGTTCTTCATCTATGCGGCTACTTGGTTCTAACGGCAACTCGGTTCTTTCTCTTTATCCTTCTGCTTGTTCTCTCTTTCATCTCCTCCATCATCGGTTGTCTCACGAGTTCCGCTTTTATTGCTGTATCGACTTTTCACTTGTAATCGTATTGGTGGCACGATGGCGTTCTCCTTGACTAAATCCAGTGAGCCGGAACTAAACACTACAAGGCCACGTTCTAGCGACAAGCACGATGATCTTGCCCTCGCAAGATTGGGGAAAAAAGCTGTACTGAAGGTATGTATCCCTCTGCATTGATCACGAACATGGCTGATGCAAGTACAGCGTCGCTTCGGCTTCCTATCTATCCTCGGTTTCAGCTGCACCGTCTTGATCACCTGGGAAGGATCTCTTGTGTACGTCGTACTACCTCGTACTACACGTTGACACGTCGCTGACAATTCCTCAGGTTGTTCCTGGTCGGCTTCCAGAAGTGAGTACACAGCATGACACAACACATCGGCCATGAGACAGTTGTGCTGAAAGAAGCAGTGGCGGCCCCGCTGGTGTCATCTATGGCTACCTCATCGTATGGCTCGGCACCGTATCTGTGTTCATGGTGCTCAGCGAGCTTGTTTCAATGTACGTCCGGCTTGAAATCCGCGTTCTACGACGAGGAGACAATTGCTAACCCACTTCAAAGGGCGCCTACATCTGGTGGTCAATACCACTGGGTGTCCATGCTCGCACCAAAAAGCTCTCAAAAGCTGTTGAGTTACATCTCAGGTGTGTAAACGTTAAACTCGACGATCTCTATCGATAGCGTGTGCTAATGCGACTATCCCGCAGGATGGCTCACTCTCTGTGGCTGGCTAGCATCACTCGGGTCCGGCGCTTTCCTCACCGGTGGCCTCATTCAAGGCCTTCTCATGCTCTGCCAACCCGATACCTATGTCCCTCAGAACTGGCACGTCACTCTCCTCTATTGGGCGATAATCGCGTTCTGCGTCTTTATCAACATTGCTGCTGGATGGCTACTACCCAAATTCGAAGGAGCGCTATTGGTCCTGCATATCCTTGGTTTCTTCGCCATCTTGATTCCCTTGCTGGTTCTTGGGCCACAGGGTAATGCGAAAGAGACCTTTACCACGTTCGTAAACATGGGACATTGGCAGACTCAGGGATTAAGCTTTTGTATTGGCATTATGGGGAGTGTCTTTGCGTTTGTTGGCGGTGATGGGCCGATTCATGTGAGTGTCTGCCTACTTTAGATCAACTTCCAGCATCCGGCTTCGCAGCAAGACACTAACACATCATTATAGCTATCCGAGGAGATTCAAAACGCACAGATCGTCGTACCTCGCTCCATCATGACTGGTATCGCCATCAACGGCTCTCTTGGCTTCGTCATGATGGTCACCGTGCTCTTACGAATGGGTGATCTCGATACTGTACTTCTAGAGAACCCTGCGTTCCCGTTCATGGCTATCTTCCACCGTGCCGTTCAATCACGCTCCGGCGCCGCCGTCATGGCATCCATCGTCATGGTGCTGACGATCAGTGCGAACGTGGGCTTCTCCGCATCGACGTCGAGGATCTGCTGGGCTTTTGCTCGAGATCGGGGTCTACCTGGATGGAGAACCTTGAGCAAGGTATGCATACTTCAAAGCCCTGTATTTGAAAGAAAAGTAATATTAACATCAACCAGGTCAGTGATCGTACATCCATCCCCGTCTACGCCGTAGCCTTCACAAGCTTCATCGCCTGCCTTCTCGCACTAGTAAACATCGGATCCACTACCGCCTTCAACGGCGTAATCTCCGTCGCCATCGCCGGCCTCTTCTCCTCCTACCTTCTCACATCCTCCCTCCTCCTCTACCGCCGCTGCACCGGCGCCATCCTCCCACCCAGCGAATCCTTCGACACAGACAGCCAATCCACAACCAGCGACGGCATGGTTCGCGCTGTATGGGGCCCCTGGCGTCTTCCTGGTTCTATAGGCATCGCTAATAATGTCTTTGCCTGCGCCTATCTTAGCTTTGTTTTCTTCTTCAGTTTCTGGCCTAGCTTTGCGGAGGTTACGCCTGCGAATATGAATTGGGCGATTTTGGTAACAGGTACCATAGCGGTCATCAGTGCGGTTTACTATGCGGTTTGGGCGAGGAAGACGTATCATGGGCCTGTTGTTGAGATTGATGAGCGCGATTTCAGTGGGAGGGTTAGTGTCGTGGAGCAGCGTCTTGAGATGGGTAGTAAGTAGATGGGTTGAAATAAGTACACTGTGTCGTACGTGACTGGTAATTAGGGCATTTTGATAACAGAATTGAGTGTGTTTAGTCAAAAGTCCAAGATCTCACAAAAAGATCGTTCTTATCATCCTTCTTCCCGTAGGTGTCCCACCATAGGGCTAGTTCAGTGGCCTTCACATACCCCACTCACTCCAATTTATCATCAACAATCTCAACCCTCACACCATCCCCAAGTTCCTCTAAAAACGTCCTGCGTATCCCCTCCCTCTCCCTCTCCCCCACACCAGAAACATCCCTCAACACAACCAGCTTCAATCTCGGCAGTCCACAAAGCATGATATATTCCCGAATCCACAACCATCTCCCCGTCGGATAATATTCATGGTCCGTAACAACCAACTCAATCCTGTTCCTCTGCCCAATCGTAAACCTGTGTAGCATAGAGTGGAAACCCGCGAGTACCGTTGCGCCGAAAGTGTTGTGGATGAAGGGGTAGTAGGCTCCTAGGTCATATCGGATTTGGCGGCAGGTGAGTGGAAGGTTGATGGCTAGCTTCTTTGGGACGGGATGCATTTCCCAGGTTTTTTGGTGGGGTGGGCGGCATCCTAGTCGTTTCTTCTTGTCGTTGCTGGGAAGGGTTACGAGGTAGATTTCATGGCCGCCTAGGGCGTAGTAGTAGACTTGGTTTCGGATTTCGCTGGGGAGGCGGAGGAAGGGTGAGTTCAGTTGGTTCTGTGCCGCGATGGCTTGGTGGGCGGCGGAGATGGTTTTTGAGGGTCTTGGTGACATGATGGTGGTGTTGGGATTGAGGAGAAAGTGGTGTGGAGGAATATGGTTGAGATGTAAAGCAATATAACCCTATGTGAGAAACACGTTTTTTCGAAGAAGACAGTCCTAAGAGCATGACCCGTGGGTGGCCAGACTCATATTTCTCGGAATGAGTCAGTACCAAAGTATCAATACAGAATACCGAATCAACAGCTGTGTATTGAAAAGGCAAGACATACATATCCGTACCCAATAGCAGGCACAAAAAGCCCACTTATCCTCCCCCGGTATCACCGAGCACCTACCCTATCCTGTCTACATCTATCTTCCATCTTTTCTCGGCCTGCTCGATATGGGCATCTCAAAACTTCCTCATAGCATCATTAACCAAATCCGCACCAAACGTCGCTCCAGCCCCGTAAACCGCCGCATTCCCAAATTTATGCGCTAGCTTACTCGCCCATTCGTGGTGCTATCTTTCAGTCAGCTTTCCCAACTTGCAAACGTCACTTGCAGACTTTTCCCCTCTTCTCTTTCCTGCCTTCCAAAACCATAGTCTTGATGTAGCAGGAGGCATTGATTGTAGGAAAACAAAAGCGTACCTTTGGATGATTCGGATTCGCCGGATGCGCCGGATCCTGCGCTTGTTGCGCGACGAGCGCGGGGTTGAACTGGTTTCCGCCATCTACATACTTGGGATCGATGTATTGGGAGGGTTGGCCATTTGGTTGCTGAGTACACATCAGTCAACATCTGCTCTTAGTCTCCGTCTACAAACTATACTCTTCCACCTCTTGAGCCCGATGATGAGACAGGTAGACAAGGCAAAGGTAGGAAAGATGTAGTAGAAAGCATACGTACGGGTAACTGCGCCTGGATAGACTGTAACTGCGGCGGGGCCAAAACACCGCTTGAGACGAGATACTCCAGTTCCGTCTTGATAGTGCTGATGGAGCGGTTGATCTGTGCTGCGTCTGGCATTTTGATGGTATGCTCTCTTTTGAAACGACTAAGAATAAGAGGAAATAATAGATGGGGTTATTAAAAGGGAAGTAGTGAAAAGAGTAGTAGTTCACTGCCAAGTTAATGCGTGTTGCTTGGCAGAAAGCTTGATTGAGATACGATCGAGGCGTCGATGGTGGGGGGTGGGGGATGTGCAAGTGACGTCAATATTCTAGACTGCTGGTTCCGTCCGAAGCATACACACAGCTTTTAAACCATACGAGATAGAGTTCGATGTATAACTTTCATTCAGCAGCTTTATACTAGCGAGCATGATCTCGCATCTCTATACGATATACAATTCTATAGTCCTTCCCATCCAACAATATCGGAACAGGGTATTTTCTATGGACCTTCTTTCGGGACGCCAATGACAAGAGATTTCGTAGCTATACACGACAAAAGTAGAGAAGTGGTCTTGCTTGATGAGTCTTTGCTTTTCTTACTCCTTCTTCGCTTCAGCAGGCTTCTCGCCCTTGCCGGTGGGGTCATCCATCTTCAAGGCGCGCTCATCCTGTTCGGCACGCTCGGCGCTTCCACCGGCGGCATCACCAGCGCTGGCCTCGGCTTCTTTGCTCTCCTCTTCGGCCTTGGCTTCCTTTGCCTCCTGTGCGTCCCGGGCAGGCTTCTCATCGATGTCCTCGTGGTCCTTGGGCGAGGCTGTGGCCTTGTTCTCAACGGTCTCGGTTTGCTCGTTCTCCTCGTTGATGAGTTCTTGCTGCTCTTTGA